TACTGAAAGGTGTAATAATTAGCTTAAAATGTATATTCTACTATATCACTGTAATGCTTGAACAAATCAAGTCCAATAAAGTTTTATTACATTTTGTTCCTTAAATCCACCCTTCTGTTGGGATCAGGATAATCCTGATTTTTTGGATCAAAAGGTACACCAATCCTACTAAAAGATGTTGAACAACACATACTGAAAGTTTTATCAAATCTCATTTCAGAATCCTTTTTTAATAAAAACAACCCATTCTCAGGATTCAATCACCGAAAACCAATAAGATTACTTCTGAACAAATGGGCCCAGAAGATGAATCCTACTGGTGATCCCTGGACCTTTCCTCTAGTGCTATCTTGAGATTGACATTTGTGGTTTTTGACAAAATGTCTTAATTAATGGATGGATCGACATGAAATGTGGTACTTCAATTCACGCCCTGTTCAGGATGAATTGTAATCTCTTTGGTGATCCTCTGACTTTTCATCTAACGCCACCAGAAGGTCCAAATATTTGTCCAACACATGTAGTCTGACCAAATATTTAACAACATTCCCATCAGCCTCAGCTGTATTTTGTTTTAAGTGCTTATTGGATAAGAAGCTAAACCAAGGAGAACGTTATTCCTTCTTAAAATCAGCTGGTTACCATACTGATGTTAGCATTTAGCTCGAAGCACTGCTGTGCCAAGTACAGCCTCACAGAGATGTCTTCTCTCACTGAAATCTGAAGACCTGTCTATTTCCCCCCCATCTAATAAAAGTGCTGCATTTCATCAGTAAACATCTAATTTACAGTGAGTAAGCTGTGCATGTGGCAAACTGGCTTGCAGGAGCAAATAAGCATTTTTTGCATCTCTTATGTCACGGTTTTGTGGCACTGTGAGGTGAGATTGTATATATTTTGTGTATAGATCGATAAATGAAGATCCACTTTTCCCCTTAAGCTAGATTTGCTGGAATATTGTAATATAAGGAGAACCCGCACACTGGAATCACAGCTCCCTTTCATTTTATTAGTAACATTTTGACAAACTACGAAGTACAAAGTGAATAGGCAACGTCACATTCATCTAACCACGTTCGTTATTTTGCTGTAACGTACCTGCAGATGTCCCATGGTGGCAGTGTATCTGGAACATGTAAAGCTTTCCTCACATCGCCTCTGTTCAACCAGTTCATCTGAGCCGTGCTGTTGATGCAGGGAGGGACTTCACCCAGAGACATGGAGGTAGGCACTCGACCTAAAAACTTAAAAAATCATTAACGCCACAAGCAAATAAGAGGAACTTGAAGCATGGATGTGTGGGCAAGCAGCACTTGTTTATAGAGGGAGACACTCACCTTGTAGGTGTGTGGGTGTTTTCTGTAGTTCTTAAAGAGGTGGTCCATGGTCCTCTCATAACCTCTGTGAGATCTGCCACCCTCACAATTCAAGTACAGGGCATACTCATTAAGTCCGCTCTCATACACAATTCGAAAGGCCACTAGCACCTGAAGGAAGACACGGTCGAAGGAAAACCTGAATGAGCCCTTCGATAGCACCAGAAATACTGAATTCTGAAGAAACAGTGCACACGTACCTGCATCTTGCAGGTGTCTGAAGTTGAGTTGTAGAAGTTGCAGCTCCCCTTGTCACAGCAATTTATGTTCAGATCTCGCCACAAACTGCACATAAAACGAAAAATAGCTTTAAAAATGACAGTCACTGCATCAACTACACATGACCATGGCTTGTTGTCAGTTCTTTAAACAACCTGTACATTGAAACAGAAAAGGAAACAGAAAAGAACCATGGGGCACTCCATACTATCAGTTACACTGATTTCTCTGGCCAAATTAAAACCACAAAACTAGTGATGTTTTTCTTTAGTAGACTGGCATTCATTAAAGAGAAGGACTGGGGAGAGCACATTAAAATACTCTGCTGTTCCTCCTAACTGACTGATGAATATAAAATCTGCAGCTTCTCTTCAGAGTACAGTGACTTTCTATTTACATACGCCAGTCATTTACAGATTCATGTGTTTAATGTGGACTTCTGAAATCTCATGTTTGTGCCAATGTTCCAGTGAGTCATTTCAAATGCAGCATACAGCCAAACTGGAGGTTATGCATGTTGTGTGCATCACTGCTGAATGAATCAGGGGAACACAGCAGCACCTAGCTTCCTCTACAGCAAAAGTGTCACTTACTCTTCTCCAAAGAGGCCGTGGTAATAACCAAAGTAGATCAAACTTTGGTCATTGAATGCAAAGCTGCTGAGACCGTTTCCCACCGCAAAGCCCTGAAAACAAAAATAGATTCAAAAGATAAATGTTGGCAGTTAAAATACCAGTCTGCTTTACTGCCAAAGTCCTTCCTGAATTTCAGAAAATAACATCTCTTTAATCACAAAACTGCATTCTGGTGGTGGTACCGATGCAAAGCAGCTGATGGTGCTGATGAGCAAAGCATCTGATGCTCAAGATAAGTTTGCACATTGAAGCATCTCACCTTGAAGTTGATTTTGGCATCCCTGGTAGCCACGCGCAGGCTGAGGGTTGGTGCATAAATTCCACCGTAACTTTCCCCAAAGATGAAGAACTCATTTTTAGTGAAATCTGGGAACTTGGCAAAGAAGCTCTGCAGGGCTTTGTAATTATCATCAGCCACCTAAGAGGAGAACATTTTAAAGTCCGTTTCTAATCTTTTCTTTACTTTTCAAAAAAGGAAGTCAAGTCACTGAACTCACCTGGTCATCGTTGGTGGTGTAGTTTTTGTCATCAGAGTAGGAATATCCCACTCCTGCAGGAGATTCTATATACAGCACATTGGCAATCTTGTTCCAGCTGAATGTGTTCTCATACAGTGTGGCCCCGTTATCATTAACCTGAAAAGGAAAACTCAATGCTGTCTATTCAGAGCCGCTTTTATTCAGTGCACAGGTACAAAGTTAGCATGCTCACATGAAACGGTCCATTCTCTGACAGGAATCCATCCAACGAGCTGCAGCCCGGACCTCCATTCAGCCAGAGCACCAGAGGGTCTTTGGCTGGGTCCCTCTGAGAAGTCACAAACCTGTAGATCAGGATCAAAGTTCAATACTGCATGACATACTGAAATGTCACACATATCTCTACACCTTACTCAAAATAACTTCCAAAGATGAGCACAACTGTCACCATTAACAGCATTTCAATTCAGCAGTAGCCTGTTTGGCATTTTAAATAAAACTGCTTCAAAATACTATGCTACGATCCGTGCAGTTGTCCTGACAGTGTTACATTCAAGTACAGTTTACTTCCTGCGGAACTGACACCGGACTGAGGTGGCGCAGGGTGAGACTGCAGAGAGCCAGTCGGTTAACGTTTCTTACCAATAATGGAGAAACCTTCCCGGTCGTGTCTGAAGGTATCCGGACCACTGTTGATAGTTCGGTTTGAACATCATACCTGGCAGATATGTCACCTCGTCGGGGGCATATTGAGCGCGTGAGCCGAGCTGAAACACGGCCAGCAAACACGCCAACAAACCACCGGCGAACATCACTGAACCAAACTCACTTCTAAGAGTAAACAAACCCCCACACTACGTCTCTCAACAAGGGGCTGAAACACGAGACTTCTTCGTCGCACTAAACTTCCTCCAATGTCCTTAACTGCAACTCCGCGTGAACCAGTCCAACTACAACATCATATGACTGCTGCTGTGGGCCACGTGACCAGTGCCTGACTGTACCGGAAGCCCTGAACAACAAGACACTCGGGTGATGTGTCAGTATATAAATAATAAATAAATAAATTGGCAACCTGCGCTTTCTAACATAACTTACAGAAGTATGTGTGAATTGTTTGAAACAGGTTTATTGATAAAGGAACCATAGACTGTATAAGAAGGAACATACAACTGTCAATAAGACAACAACACAAAATATTTAAAAGCTATTTAAGGGGAAATTAAACAAAAAGGCTAAGAAGAAACTTTTTGGTGTTTTTTTTTTTACAAGGTGAGTGTATCTTCACTCACAAACAGTATTTTTTATCATGAGAAGAATTACTACCACCATAAAAGATATATTTGTATTAAGGTTTGAACAAACCTCAGGGTAAAAACACAAATTGAATGAGAAACTTAAAACATTAGGCGAGTCACACACCTCTGAGAAATTATATGCCTATTTTCCCAGTATAATGGAGTTTATATTACAGTTTTTAGTCTATAGGGAGTTAAAATAATACAGTCTTTACAAATTAAATATGTGCCAAGCCAAGACCCTGGCCTTTTTCCACAGCAGACATTTTGATTTGTCACAAAAGCACAGGTGCACATAACATTAACTATGGCTCCCAGTAATACATGACAGTGTGGCTGAATCCCAATCTCCACCCTGTACATGACAGACAGAGAAAATTCAAGATCACATTTAACAGGAAAACCAGAGAAATCAATGACAAAGAAATTAATAAATTCACTAATACCAGTTTAAAAACAAAATCAGCACAAAATTTTTTGTTCTTTAGAAATAAATTTGCTACGTAGTTTACGTAGCTTGGGCCCAAAAAAACCCAGGCTGGTTCAATACACGGTTTTAGAAATCTCAATTTTTTCAAATTGCAAGTTTGTTAGTGCATTTCAACATCATTGAAATTGTGTGGCCCTATCTTTTAGACTAGTCCTATGTCAAATATAGGTTTACTATTTTCATTTATGTTGTTCTCATTTATTCTCTTATTTCTCTCTTATTCTCTTTTTTATTTAATGTGTATTTTTTGTCTGTTGTGTTGTATCCGGAGCTACTGTAGCAAGCGATTTTCCCCCAATGTGGGATCAATAAAGTCTATCTTATCTTATCTTACCTGGGGACAGGTTGTGTTCAGGCTGGGCTGTAGCTAATATAAGCTAATATATTCAAATATTGAGAGGGGTCAGTATTTTTTACTAGGATTTTTTTTTAGCAACCTGTTACCAATTATCAATTAAAAACTTAATGGATATATATATAACTTATAAATTATAAAAGTTATAAATTATAATTTATAAATTATAACTCGGAGACTTTTTTTATTTTTATTTACATTTTTTGTGTTGATATTGTTTTTATGTTGGTTTAGTATTTTTTTATACATTCATAGTAAACTATTTCTTGTATTAATCTGTATGTACTATTTTAATCCTTTTATTTTTTAGGTGTGACATATTAAGATCTGTCCAGGGACAGCAAATGTAAAATAGCCTTTTGGCTAATTCTGGCACATTATACATTTATTAATGTATTATTAGTGTGCATTGTCCCTGTTAAATAAACCTGAAATAAATAAATATTGAATACATATTAAATATATTTAAATATTAATTATATTGCTTATTAAATTAAATAATATTTTTGGAGGGATTTTATTGTTGTCGGTCGAATGTTTGGGCTTTTATTGTGAAAGCAGGTATATACGGCTACCGGAAAAAATACGCGCCTTACTCCATAACAGTGGGGGTGGGCTATCAGAAAAGTTGGGACATTGCCGTAAACATTGGCTTTAGATTGAAATTCAACTGTAGATACATTTTCTCTCGAGATAAAATTCTGTCGGTTGTCGTCGTCCGGACTACTGCCGTTAGCTATAGTATCCTCGGTAAAATTAGCAGCTCTCTACCGCTGGTCCCGACAACGATCCAGGTAAAAACAGTTCATTCTCGTAACGTTAATTATTACCCTCGCCGCTGAGGTCACGAATAAAAGTTGTGTTTGTATGCAACCAAAGCTTATGCAATAAATTAAACACTTGTGTTAACATCATAGGTTAACACAAGCTAACTTACGTGAAACTAAAAAGCTACATATGTTAGTGTTTCCGGTAATAACTTTCATATGAAATTTTCACCAGGAGCGAAACGACCCGTAAATGTAGAGACAAAAATGACATGACATTGTTTTCTTCCCAAATGTGTTGTTTTAACAGCATATATTGAAATCCACATGTAACTACAAAAGAGGGCTGTGTGTTTTTATGTAAAATCCTTCTGGTTGTGTGAAGCAGCTCTTTGCAGCTGATTCAAACAGCACAGTACAGAGGAGGCTCCCGGGGTCATTGTTTTCCTCTCACTTCCAGCAGAATGGATCCTGAAGATAGCCCACATAGTCCAGACGGGGAGGCCGTCATGCCAGACCAGAACCCCAAATACCAGAGGAGTCTGAGGAGCCTGAACGTGCTGGCCACAAGGTTTGTCAGGTTGTTACAAGAAACTGAAGGCGGTGTGCTGGACCTCAAAGAGGTAAGTGAAATGAGGCCAGTGAACCACACAGGAAAACAGACTCTCATCCCAACACTATTATGTTTCATCATATATAAAATTGATTTTTCACTGTTGTATGTGATGTAACTGTCCAGGACTACACATGCCTACATAATCAATGTATTACAGTTAAGTATTCTACAACATAAAATATACACAAATCCAGTTGGTCATACCTACGGCACACCATTTACATTCAATTGACATCTTATTTCCCATGATTGCCAGTGTTCACTGTGTGCACTGAGAAATAATACTATTTATTAGAAGCTGTTGTCTGAAGCGACTGTCAATAAGTAACTTCCTTTGGAACTAAAGCTTGATGTTATCAAAACTGTAGGTGCATCCCTCCTAAACAAACAACTATTTGAGTGCTACAGTCCTTATTTGGTTTTTTGAAAGCAAGTTTTGATATCCACTGTGATCTCTGAAACGCTAGCTGATCCCCTGAGGGATCCAGAGCATTCAGTATGTGGACATCTGGGAAACAAAAATTCTGACAAGATGAGACTAAGGAGGCTGTGTTTGTGTTCTTTCAGGCTGTCAGGGTCCTGGCTGTTGGACAGAAAAGGCGAATCTACGACATCACGAATGTACTGGAGGGCGTTGGTCTCATTGTGAAAATGTCCAAGAGCATCGTAAAGTGGAAGTAAGTTTGTATCCCTGTCGTGTGTGTGCATGCATTTGGATAGACATGTGTGTCAAGAGTGTGGCGCAAAATATATTTTAATACACATGCCTTTTCTAAATAAGGGGTACAATGCCGGGAAAAAATGCACATGAGTTAAACAAGAGAATGGTAGAGTTAAAGTCTGAGCTGGAGGACTTGGAGCAGAAGGAATATATGTTGGACCAGCAGAAATTCTGGGTTGAACAGAGCATCAGGAACACAACAGAAGACTGCAACAAATATCCTTTTTACCAAAAACATAGCAAAGAGTGCTGAAATGTTTCACTTTTTGTTTTAACGGTAAAATTTAAACTGAAAGTGAGATGTTGGTTATAATTCTGACCAGTTTCAATCAAATGTAATGTGGTTTATTCCTTTATGACTCAAAAGCTGTACTTTCTTTGGCAAAAACAATTATAGTGAATGTCTCTGTCCTGCAGACCCCCCACTCCCTTACACACTGATATACTTCTTGACTCCTCAAACTAACACAATATTTCAAGTTGAACCTTAACTCCAATCAACTCTGACCTATGTGAATCATGAAGATATCTGCAGCTGCTTCAGTGGTAATGTATCATCAGTCTGGTCTTTTTAACACTCACTCTTGTGTACAATTTGTGTCGTCATTTTAGTGAAGTACACATCCTTTTTTAATGAATATATTTCCTCAGTTCATGTCTTCCTCCCTCACCTCTGCTGCTGTTGAGTTGATGTGATGGATGTATCTGTAGAACAAACATCTTCCAACTTTTAAAATCGAAAAGTGCACCAAAGCACATGAAGCAATTTGTACATTAGGGGCTTTTAATGAAGTCCTCATTGATTTCTGTTACTAGATTGATACCAGCCACAAAAGATGCAGTGTTGGGAAATGTGTTTACAGGAGAGTTTCAAGCTCTGACCAGACAAGCTGTAGAGTTATCAAAATAGGTTGCTTCTCTGAATCAGCTGATGTTTTGGCGACCCAGTGTATTTACCTAGTTGGACAAACATCAACACAGCTGTGCTCATAATGCTCTTGCATCAAAACAATGGCTGACAGAGTAGAGGCAAAAAGAACTACTAACATTTCTTGTCCTTTTGACCAAGGATTTTTACTCTCTTCTTTCTCCAGGCCATACACTCTTGGCAGTACGCGCGCCATCTGGCACACAGCTAGATGTTCCTATTCCCAAAGCTGTAAGTTTTGCATCACTGTAGTTTCCTCTTTTTTTATGATGAGATGATGTGGTGAGTATGTGCATACATCTTTCTTTCAGGTCCAGAACAGCCCAGCGAAGTACCAGATTCATCTGAAAAGCATCAACGGGCCGATAGATGTCGTACTTCTTAACAAGCACTCTGTCGGGTCTGATCCTGTCGTGTTGCCAGTCCCGCCGTCTGAAGAAATTTTACGGAACGCCAAATCAGCGATGTCCACTTCAGATGAGACGGAAAGCAGTAACGCACATTGTCAGGCTTCAGCTAATACCAAACAAAGCACCAGATCTAGACAAACGGCCATGGAGGACATGCAGCATCTTCAGTCGTCGTCGTTTCGAAAAGCTGTGCCTAACCGAACTGATGCATCTGGATGTGAGTATTTTAGTTTGTACAATTTCTTATATGTTTTTTTTTTTTTTTTGATATACCATTGAAATAGAAATCAAACACTCCATTTTAGCTTGATCTGGATCCCGTGCCGTGTTGAACCAAAGTCTAGATCGGAGAGAATGTGACTTTACTTGAACATGAAAACCAAAACGGCATTGATTCTTTTTGCAGTCACTCTGTTTCCTCTGGAAGGAGGCAAAGAACTTCTATTGCAATTACCACTTCAGACTGGGACCAGAATCGGTTAAGTGGACAGTGTAAAAAGTGGCATGCAAGTTACTTAATCGAAAAGTTCAAAACGCTGTTTAATTATAAGACTGATCAAGTAAATGTGTGACCAACAATTCTACTGGTAAAGTAACTTTTTTGCATTTGCTCCTTATCTGAAATGAAGAGACATAAAGCACTTCCTTCACTGGCTGACAAAATCAGTTTATCAGTATATCGCAGTAGACGCCGGTTATGCTGTATATTTCTCTGTGTCTCTTTCATGCTCACACAATAATGTGTTCATGCCTCATTGCATGTTTCTTTCAGTGCTGAGGGCTTTTACAATGGTTTTGATTAAATTATTTTTTCCCAGTGCGAGATTTATCAAAAGAACTGGCGGACCTACTACACCCAACCAAAGGTAGTGCCCCTCTTGTGTCTCTGAATTATTTCTGTTCATTTAATTCAAATTTCAGTTTTATTTGACTCCTGCATGTTTGTCTTCCACCATTTTGTAGAAATAATGAATGCAGATCTAATCACAGAGCTTATGGCCTCAGAAGGTAAGTGCACTTTATTTTCTGACTTTATATATTTATATTAAAGATGTATTGGTATTTGTAGTATATTTGCATAAATCATGTTTACCTCTGCTCCCTAGTTTTTTCTCCGCTACTTCGTCTATCTCCGCCCCCATCTGAACATGAATATGTCTATAATCTGGATGAGAGTGAAGGCCTCTGTGACCTCTTTGACATCCCTGTGCTCAATGTTTGACCATGAACTCCTGTGTTCAAAAGTTTTTACTCCGGAAATGTACATAGTAGTCTGTTTTTAAATAGTTATGTGATTATAACAAATAATAAACAAATGATTTTGAATATTGTGTCCACCTCATTCATATACTGTGAAGCAAAAAGTAACTCATTCTTTCAGTAGTTCAAACTGGGATTAGTCTTAAAGTATCAACATTTATGTATAAAAAAAGTCCCCAATAACAACACAATATTGAGAACAAAGTCAAGTTTCAACAAAAACACCAAAATTGGCTGTCTTCACTGTCAAGGGTGACAAGTCAATCCCCTCTCATGTCACTCCAGAAAGCTTGCACTGATTCAAGTTGGAAAAACACATGTTTAGAACAAAATACACTGTTATTCATATCCTATCATTTTTATGTAGTTTGCTTACAAACAAAGGGTCTGAATACTTATGACCATGTGATATTTCAGTTTTTCTTTTTTAATAAATTTGCAAAAATTTCTACATTTCTGTTTTTCTGTCAAGATGGGGTGCTGAGTGTACATTACTGAGAAATAAAATGAACTTTTTTGATTTTTGGAAAATGGCTGCAATGAAACAAAGAGTGAAAAATTTAAAGGGGTCTAAATACTTTCCGTACCTACTGTATATCATATTATAATATATATATAATAGTTCTTAATGCATTGAAGTTGGAGTTGAACTCCTCATGCTCCAACAGTAGTTTAAATAAAATGAACAACAGCCCAAATCCCTTTTGGATCTCCATTCCTCTACACATATTTTCTACTAAATATATATGTTTTTTCACACTAGTGTGATGTAAAAGTGTTGAGCTGAATTGTTACTATAACTGTTATAAATATAGTGTCAAAAAAGTATATTTAAATATAAATAAATAATAAATAGTTCCCCCTGACATCCATAAAATAGCTCATGGAAACCTCAAAATTGTACTTGTATATAAACTTGGGTAGTGCTACAGCTCGCGCCCTCCTCGAGGTGCAGAAATGCGCGTGCTCGTGTTGCTATGGCAACGTGTGTTTGAGACAGGCAGCAGGACTGAAGTGGTGGACTCCTCTGGTTCAAGTGCTGCTGACCAGGCTCCTCAAAACGACCGAAACATTGCCTGCGTCTCTGTGCTATTTAAGCAGCATACACGATGGTGAGCAGAGCGTTCTTTAAATTAATTAATAACGAACATGGTTGAGCTAACACAGCTAACGTCAGCTGTTAGCTACCTCAGCTAACGCTTGGTTGGTGTGTGAATTTCACATTTGGCTCGTCGCCGCCCCAGTTTGTGCTTCTCTGTGTTATTACTTTCATGAGAAGCACAGACGGGAGGCAAAATACTTCGTCACAATTACAATGTTAAATAAATACGCCGGGTTGCATGTAGGAAGAACTTTTTATCTTTTTTTCCCTGTTGACATTTGTCCAGCCACCTAAAAACAAAGGCACAAGTAAAAAGCCTGCAAAGGTGAGGACGCCCACGCTGATAGATGGCCTCACCAAGGAGGAGATGTCCAAGGAGCAGGTCAGAGCTGAAGGGTGATGTGTTTGAAAGTATGCAGTGATGCTTGGATGACTTAATGTAAGTAAGAAAGCAATGTTTCCTGCTTGAAGTGATCTGTATATTAAAGGCATATGTCAGCAAGTATTGCACTTCCACGAGACTCCCAAGAGATGGATTGAAACAAGAATGGTGAAAATCAATGCAGAGGCCTAGATATCCTGAAGCTCAGTTCCTAGTATTGGTCAAGGTCTTAAAATGCTGGATACTACATTTTTGTTAGCCTTCCAGCCTGCTAAAATGCCTGTCACGCTCCAACCCTCCAGTTTTTAATGGAGGCTTTTGTTATAAATGTGTATGTCTCTAAGCCATGAAGACATCATCATAATTTTCTCAAACTTTCTCCAGAGCCACAGATGGCATGTAATGTTTATTTTCACAGGCTGAGTAGAACCCCCTGTGTACGGTAAATTGGCTTTGACAAATGAGGCAATAAGTTACAGTACTTGATTGTCATACTAATTAAATGCTACTGGACATGTACATTGTCTGGCTCAGATATGCCCACACTAAAAGATATTTCTGTATTTCAGCTGGAGGAGCACATTGCACGCCTTCGAGAGGAGCTGGATAGAGAGAGGGAGGAGAGAAACTACTTTCAGCTGGAGAGGGACAAGATCCACACCTTTTGGGAGATCACAGAACGACAACTAGAGGAGGTCAAGGCTGAACGGAAAAACTTAGATAAGGACATAGAAGAGGATGAGGGGCGCCACCAAATTGAGATCAAGGTAAGGTTAATGCACAGATATACTGTAGTACTGTAAGTCTGTCTTTTAAGCCAGAATATGTCAGAACAGGCTGTCCCAATTTAAAGGCTCCTCAAATGCAGCCAGTGGTGTACAGGTTGTCCTCTCTAGTTTAAAAGTCAGGAAAAATTATCTGATTGCATCTCATCTCATTTACTGGATACTAGCACTTAATATGTCACTAAAAATCATATATATCACTTGAAATACATAGCTTTTAATGTAATAATGGAAGCCAGCAATACATTACACTGTTTCGTTTCACTGGTTTTCAAGATACTGTTATGCTGTTTATCACAGTTGGTTATATTACATTACATTAATTCATTTAGCTGACACTTTTATCTTGGATTGAACCCAGGTCTCTCACACCAAAGGCATGCATCTTATCCACTGTTCCATCACCCCCCCCCCAATTATATTTATGTTGTAAGTTAAACCTTACAATATATAAAATTCATACATAACAAATACACGTGTGATGAAAAATTGCCTGGAAATGTCCCAGTTTTTGTAAATTTCTAATGGAGAAAAAAATTGAGATGATAAAGTAATAAATAATTATTAAATAATTCTCACATTAGTTCAAGGATCACAGGCTTCTTAAGAAAATTGGGAATAAATCTCTAATCTTTCTACAGCCTTCTTTGTCAAAGCTCTACAGATAGTGTCAGAAATATATTGTCATCTGTGTAAAAGAAGGCTGTTTTTTAGTTATTTTAATGAAAAGTAGTTATTTTGAAGATACTGATCCTTTCATGAGCTTTTTTTCAGGTTGAATGTAAAATCATGTGCAAACTAACCAGTAACAGTTGCTATTAGGTAAAAGAAGTTAAGTTAACAGTACAGGATTTTCGTCTAAAATTTAGTGGAGTAAAAGTTAAAAGGTTCTGGGGGAGACTTCTTGATGTCACCACTCAGCAAAACACCAGTTATTGAGAGAGTGCCTGCCTGATGACCCTGTAGACTTTCCTGCACTCACACACAACTTCATATTGAAGCCTTTATTCTTTTCTTCTGTAAGATAGAAAGTCATGAAAGGTTTCTCATACCAGAGGGGTTACTAACTAGTGGCAATCAGTAAGTCTACAGTAGTAGAACCAGATATACAGTCATGGTCGGACAACTGAGTGGGTACTTAAATAAAATTACCTAAACAAGCCAGCCACTGTAGCCTAAGCAGATACAATATAGATATAAGGCTGAGTCAAGCCGCCAAGTTGGCAAGCTCTTGGATTAGGTGAGACCAGGACTTAAAGGAAGTTTAAAGGTAAATTGAATCAGGGGGTGCAACAAAACTATGTCATCTGTCATGACCTACTACAGCCTGATACCCACTGTAGAGCCTAATGAAAAGGCAAAACATAATTTAACATGAATACTCGACTTGCCTATAGTCGACTCATCGTCACCCAACTTTTGGCACATTTTTGTAATGATAACTAGCAAGCAAATAATATCCATGGGCAGATTTAATGGCTAAACTAATTTTATATTACTCATTATTTTTTCCCCTCTAGGTGTATAAGCAGAAGATGAAGCACCTCCTTTGTGAACATCAGAACACAATCTCTGAGTTGAAAGCAGATGGTTTAGTATCTAGGGAGATGATGCAGAAAGAGCAAGAACACTTGGAGACTGAGCTTCATAAAGAAATGACAGCCATCATGGTAGACATGCAGGAGCTCGACAATGAAAACCTTGTCAAGGAGCTTGAACTGGTTTGTAGTAGTACACACCTCTTTTAATTCTACACCTAAAGATCTGTAGAATTAATGTTTATATTTACCCAGATATATTTCAACAAGTATCAATGCAATGAAAACACCAGATTGGTTTTTATCTCAACAGAAACATAATGAAGAAATGACTAAAACAAGGAACAGCTGGGAGAAGCAACTCACAGGTAAATAACTGATCTCATTTTGAGTCGAATTCAGCACCCCATGCTGTCAAAAAGTAACAAGGAACTGTCATTTTGTGTCACTATTTTGAGTAGATATTCAAGCAAAGTATGAGAAAAAGATGGAGTTTTTACCCCAAGAGCTGGACAACATGAGGAAAAATGAGCTCAGTGAGCACGAGGATCATTGGAACAGCCACATCACCGCTCTTATAGAAGACCACAACAAAGCTTTCAGTGATGCTAATGCACTTGTTAACCACATGCAGCAGGATTTGGATATGAACGAGTCACTCAAGGTATAAATGCACACATTCGTCTTCAGAGGTTTTGATTATTATCATTATTTCATTATTTTTGCAATCAATTGATAAATTGTTTAGAGAATGGTTAAAAAAAACAAGCCCAACATCATGTCTTGAAATTGCTTGTATTGATTGATAATCAATTTGATATCTGAATCAAAATAATATAAAACATAGAAAAGTCTTCAGATTTGAGTTACTCATTAATGATGATTTGATAAATTACTCAAAATTGTTGACAATTATTTTTTGTTTGACTAATTGTTGCAGCACTAGTTTTGAGGCATCTTAAAAAAAATTCACATTGCATGTTTTTATTGGCTTTTCTTAGACACAAATTAAAGACACCAAGGCGAAACAGAAGGAAAAGGAAAAGGACCTGGTACCTGTTTTGCAGGATAACAAACATCTCGCTAAGCTTCTCTCGAAAGCCGAAGAGGAAAACGCTGAAAATCAGAAAAAAATTAAAAACTGCACGACAAAAAGGGTTACGTTCGTTTTGATGTTTGTGAATTTTTAAACACTGAGTTCACTGTTGCAACTTGTGTACTTGTATTTGTAGCTACCAGTGCCTTAATTGGTGGCCACAAGGGTAATATGTGACTGTGATGTAATTTTGACAGGATTCCAATCAAAAGGTCAAAGAAAAGGAGCTGAATGATCTGAAATGGGATCATGAGGTGATGGAACAGAAATTCAGCAAGGTAAAAGCTTGCTCAAATGATAGCTTTGATTCATGTGAGGCAAATGCTTTGTGCACTTGTGGGTATTAATGTGAATGTTTTTGCATCTTTGTGTATGTGAACATGTGCTTCTGTGTACATGTCACACAGCTTCAGCTGGAACGAGACGAGTTGTACAAGGCGTTCACTCAGAATATTCACAAGTTGCAGCATAAAGCAGGTTTGAAGGGTGTGCTGCTTGAAAGGAAACTGAAAGCTCTGATAGACAGCCTGGAGAAGACACAAGCTCAGCTCGACTCGGTGCTTTCTGCCTCAAACATGGACCAAACTGCCCTCGTTGGGGTCACTAAGAAAATTGAGGTATAATTTACATTCATTGAAATATTTACACACAAGTTGTGGTGTGTATTTTTACAAGCATTGCGGTACTGTATGTACCAGGACATAAAAGAAACCTGTTTTTGCTTTTAGGAAAATCTTGACTCCAGTAATAATTCCATCAAGAACTTGCAGTATAAAAAAGCTCAGGTTTCCAAGGTTAGTAGTTAATTTATTTCCTGAAAGTGCTGTCATACATTTGTTTACCTAAAGGTGATGGTGAAGTTTATTTTTGTAGTGATATTCACACACATGTATCCGCTTTTACACCCACCATGTATCTGGCAGGCCCGTACAGATTTGCTGCTGACCTACGAAGCAAAGCAAAGGGCTCTTGGTGTCCCTCTGGAGGAGCGTTGTGTAAAGCCCTTTGAGAGCAGTATTGCTTCGAGAGGCCTAGAACAAGGGTTGGGTTTTTCCCTAAAATGAGAAGCAACGAACCCAAAGACTGAAACATTTACAGCAAATCTCACTTTCTTTGCATCTGATCTCACTACAATTTGACATGTTTCTCATACTTTCCTATGATATAAATGTTGATGTTCAGTGACACAAAAAGAAATATTGTTTTCTCCTTCTCATAATGATGACTTGGTATCTTGAGAAAACAATGGTCGGGGAGTTTAGAGTTAAAGGTCCATCATGCCCTTGATTCACGCTTCTTTCCAAAGGCAGAGATAAGTAATTACAGGCACAGATGTTAACAAAAAAGGCTTAAGTATTTTCAGGGCTGACCAACAAACTGTGTAACAGATCAAAAGGTTGTGATGTCTTAATTATATACCTTTTGTAGGCTGCTTACTTTACCTCAACAAAACTCATTACTATAGACCAAATAGAATGGCTAAAAGCTGCTTTACAGGACATATTCAGCTACTTTTGTTCTGGTTTCTGATCTCTGTTGTAGTTTTTATTATTTCTTTGATGAAACAGATATCAAAAGGACCAAATATGTAGATACTGTGATTTTGAGATGGAGAGTTGAGCAAATTCCTGTTCACCTCAACTGATATGAAGTGCTGAAAGACTAGATGAGCCGAACTCTGGAGTAGTCTCAGGGTTCCCACTCGTCCTGAAAAATCTTTTGTTGTCCTGGAAAATTATTTGGCTGGTAACTGGTTTTTATTAGGTTTATAGATAACGTTTTCTTCTCAACTTGTTTTAAATGGTTGAATAATATTTAATTGGTTAAACGGTTTAAGGTTTGTATTTCAACTCTGGCTAGAAACAATGGTTTCAAATATGTTGGGTATTGTTGAAAAAGTTGGATAAGAATTAATTGTAATCCTGTGGTCAAAACTATGAATGGGCTGTATGGCCCAGCTGTATGTGCATCAAACTCCGGCTCACAGCACTTTTTGTACCGTTACACTGCCTTTGGGCTCAGGAACACAGTGACTTAAGAAAGTTAAGGTTCAACAGAATGCTGGGATTTGTTAGTCTGCAAAATTGTAGGCTATTATTGGTGTTGAGCCTATTTAGTTATTGGTGTTAAGGCAGCAGTGGTTGAAATATAATTCATAAGAAAAGCACTTGCCAAGTAGACAAACACAAAACGCTTTCTAAAAGAAACAAAAAAAGGGCAATACTACAAAAAATAATGTTAAAACAAGACAATATCGCTTTGTCATAATTTCTACACATGTAATAGATGATTTCATAGATAAGTTACAGCCATAGACTAGTCTTGGAAATCAGACTTCCGCAGAGAGGAAAGTATTAGTGTATGACGTGATCCCTGTCTGTCATACCAGCTAGAACATCACTGAAAATGTCCAAAAGTCCTGGAACATGATCTCTAGAAAACAGTGGGAACCCCTGAATAGAGCTACTAAAATTAATACAGAAATTCAAGGAATCCAGATCTTGTAGAAGCAACAGCATAAATAGTACAGTGGTTGTCCTGTAGAGGTCATGAATTACTGTTTTAAACCATGTACACTGGCTTTGTGTGTCACACTGCAGCCAGTGTTAAGCACACTGTTGTTAGTTTGAACATACATTGTTTTATTCTGTTTATGGTATTTGTCAATTGTTTGATTTCAATGACCATGCAAGAGGTGTCGCTGTCCACTTTATTACTTTTTGTTTGTTTATTTGCTTCTATTGAGTGTGACTGTTCATATACATCAATGACGGGGGCCTTTGAGGAATAATGACAATCTGAGTCATAAGCAGAAAAACTTTGACATGGCTGAAGACATGGACAATAATTCATGAGATAACTTGTCTCATTTTCTTAAATCTTAAATCTCTTCTAGCAACATTTTGCAGGTTAACCATACGGTAACTCCAGTGTGCTACCGTCTTAACCTTTCCCAAAGCTTCCTTTCACGGCACATCCATGTATTATACACAATACAACAGGACACAACCCAAATATAATGAGAAACCTTTGATGCAGAGCTACTCATCTGTAAAACACATTTAAATTAATAACTTATACATAATAACATAGGCTGATTGTATTTTAAATGTGCAGCTATTTTATGTTGGAAAATTTTTTCAAAACAGGGTTGGGAGCAAGAAAATGTTTCCAGTCATACCTGCTTTTGACTAAGCTCTTTGACTTTCCAACGAGCAATGTGAAACAACAGTCACCTCATAACGATGCACTGGCATATGGGCCCCCTGACCACCAAGACCTCTGTTCATTAATCCATCCCTGCATGGTGAGAGATGAAGGTCTGTATGTTGCCTGTTCTTTTTTCTCCTATAGTTTGTAATAACACCTCTCCTTTGTGCAGTAATTCTTGTCGCACAAAGGGAATTCAAGGTTGTGATGCCCTATTATACAGGTGCTGGTCATATAATTAGAATATCAACAAAAAGTTGATTTATTTCGGTAATTCCATTCAAAAAGTGAAACTTGGATATTATATTCATTCATTACACACAGACCGATTTAATTGTGATGATTAAAACTGACAAATAATGAAAATCCCAAATTCAGTATCTCTGAAAATTAGAATATTACTTAAGACCAATACAAAAAAAAGGATTTTTAGAAATGTTGGCAAACTGAAAAGTATGAGCGTGTACAGCACTCAATACTTAGTTGGGGCTCCTTTTGCCTGAATTACTGCAGCAATGCGGCGTGGCATGGAGTCGATCAGTCTGTGACACTGCTCAGGTGTTATGAGAGCCCAGGTTGCTCTGATAGTGGCCTTCAGCTCTTCTGCATTGTTGGATCTGGCGTATCGCATCTTCCTCTTCACAATACCCCATAGATTTTCTATAGGGTTAAGGTCAGGCGAGTTTGCTGGCCAATTAAGAACAGGGATACCATGGTCCTTAAACCAGGTACTGGTAGCTTTGGCACTGTGTGCAGGTGCCAAGTCCCGTTGTAAAATGAAATCTGCATCTCCATAAAGTTGGTCAGCAGCAGGAAGCATGAAATGCTCTAAAACTTCCTGGTAGACGGCTGTGTTGACCTTGGACCTCAGAAAACACAGTGGACCAACACCAGCAGATGACATGGCACCCCAAACCATCACTGACTGTGGAAACTTTACACTGGACTTCAAGCAACGTGGATTCTGTGCCTCTCCTCTCTTCCTCCACACTCTGGGACCTTGATTTCCAAAGGACATGCAAAATTTACTTTCACCAGAGAACATAACTTTGGACCACTCAGCAGCAGTCCAGTCCTTTTTGTCTTTAGCCCAGGCAAGACTCTTCTGACACTGTGTCTTGTTCAAGAGTGGCTTGACACAAGGAATGCGACAGCTGAAACCGTCTTGCATACGTCTGTGCGTGGTGGTTCTTGAAGCACTGACTCCAGCTGCAGTCCACTCTTTGTGAATCTCCCTCACATTTTTGAATGGGTTTTGTTTCACAATCCTCTCCAGGGTGCGGTTATCCCTATTGCTTGTACACTATTTTCTACCACATCTTTTCCTTCCCTTCGCCTCTCTATTAATGTGCTTGGACACAGAGCTCTGTGAACAGCCAGCCTCTTTAGCAATGACCTTTTTGTGTCTTGCCCTCCTTGTGCAAGGTGTCAATGGTCGTCTTTTGGACAGCTGTCAAGTCAGCAGTCTTCCCCATGATTGTGTAGCCTACAGAACTAGACTGAGAGACCATTTAAAGGCCTTTGCAGGTGTTTTGAGTTAATTAGCTGATTAGAATGTGGCACCAGGTGTCTTCAATATTGAACCTCTTCACATTATTCAAATTTTCTGAGATACTGATTTTGGGGTTTTCATTAGTTGTCAGTTATAATCATCAATATTAAAAGGAATGAACACTTGAAATATATCAGTCTGTGTGGAATGAATGTATACATTATACAAGTTTAACTTTTTGAATGGAATTACTGAAATAAATTATCTTGATGATATTCTAATTATATGACCAGCCCTTGTATACTCAGTAAATGTATTAATGTTTTTTATACAAATTCTATGTGGCATCTTGAATAAAAAATGAGAATGAAGATAAAGTGATATTGCTGCTTTAGTAATTATATGCCACTTACGCCAAGCTTTACACCCTGATGCAGAGGATCTGGTCTATCTAGGCCGTTTGAGCAATCTGTCAGTATTCAAAAGTAATGCGTTCATAGCCAGCTATGAAGACATACTAATACCATGACTAGTGCGGTAAAACCTCTGTTGACGTCCTTTTTATAATTATTTCTGTAGTTAAATAATAATTATAGCAAAGATGGTTTTTGTTTTTATATTTTGGGATTTGGGTTCCCAGGATGGATCACATGAAGATGATTGTGGTCTTGGTGTCACTGGAAAACAAGAAAACTGCAGTAGAGGTCACTCTAAACAACAGGTGATCACAAATATAGCAAAGGAAGTTAAAACCAACACATTAATTTGTTATCTGACAGAGTTAAAGAGTCTGATCTCTTAAAATCCTACTAAAAGTTCAAAAGGTTGTGATTTTATTTATATGTTTTGGAACTCAAACTATTTGTTGTTGAAAGCTTTACCGCAACAAATCTACCCAGAGACCATTGTTTGTTTCTTTTAGGGGATATCTAAAAATGCACAACACTCACCAATAATATAAACCTTTCCTAAGTCGTTGCAGCAATGGCAGCCAATAAGTGCAGTAGTGGCAAACCGCGCCCCCTTGTGTCACTTTGGTCCAACAAATTGCTATTCTGTATTCCATGTGAAAAAGCTATGTATAGCTTAATTAATAAAAAACCCAATACATTTAACAAAGTTAACGGTTGGAAAAATGTATCTTTTTAGCTATTTCTGTGTGTGTTTATTGGTTATATCTGTCTTTGATTTTGGTTTAATATTCTAACTACTATGCTATAAAACATGCTTTGTGTCAATTATTATAAAGTGGAGGGATATTTTTTGTCAATTATTAAAAAGATTTTTTAAAAAACAACAGATAAAAACAAAAAATCTCTTTGATCTCCACAAATATTTATATCCATCAGCTGCAACTTAAAGAAATACATCATGGTATATATTTTCATTGGAAGATGGGGACAAGGCTTAAAGTTGGACTCGAACCAAGTATTCCAATCTCAACAGCTAGTTTCACCAGCTGATTTCTGCCATGCCTGAGTTTTCAGCAGCGAGAGGAGGGACGTATAGGGGTGGATCCAGTTTCTCATTGAATATTCCTGTGGTGAATTGAGCCCTGCTGCACTGAGTGATTGCTGTTCCCTGCAGTATCAATAATACAGGAGGAAGTTATTGTCCCTGTGCAGGCCACAGTATCATACAGCTAAAGCAAGTGGAGGGAGGGGGGTGGTCCTTTCACTCAGCCCTCTTGGGTTTCAGGGCCTGCAGACAGTGGTCTGACTCTGGGGAGCCTGCTGCTGTGCCTTTGCACAGGGCTCAATTGTATGTGCGCCTGGCTGAGGGATAAATGTGTCTAAACAGTGACAACCTGAAGAGTCCTGCTGGCTCAGCGCTGTTGGTAAGACTACACCCCCAACAAACCCAGAGTCAACAAGATGAGTCCCAGCTGAGAGACAGCTCAATAGGGAATCAGTCAGTGGGAGACATCAGACAGTTAGAGAATGGGATAGATATCCTGGGTGTGATTAACATGATCCAGATTTTCACCTTGTTTGAGCACCTAGCTGAGTGCTGTGACCTTCCTGCAGCCTCACGATGCTCCAAAACACTGAACTGGGAATCCATGAAACTATTTATTGTACATCCAAATACAAGCAGTGAACTGAGAGACAAGTACTTCTTTATGTTAAAGGATTACATACACCGTAGCTTAACCACACTGCTCCCTCCTTTTCCTCTGCACATTGCTATAGAAAACAGCCAACCACCATACTGTAGCATGACAAGATAACTTCTGAAATATGAAGTCAAGCATCAACCCTAAACCCCAGATACAAAAAGCAAGTGCCCCTAACAGCTAAAAGCACAGAGAGAGCGATAGAGAGAGAGAAAGAAAGAGGACACAGATGGGAGGGGTGCAGGAGGAGAGAGTGAAAGGTAGAGAAAGTCGGAGTGATGATGAAACAGAGAGTGGCGCTCAGAAAGAGGTCAGCTCTGAGCGTGTTGACACCACAGAGTTGGAGAAGCTGGCTCAAGCTTGAAAGGATTCTTAAAGAAATTAATGGGCTGTAACTGCTGGTGAGTAATGATTAGATTTTTTCTCAAATGTAAATTATTGTGAGTGATTGATCAAATTTCTATTTAAAAAAATATTTTAAACAGTAGCAGATGCATCCTTTGCTATATTTGTTAAACTGTGATCTCTTTAATAAAGAGAGCTGTATATATAACTGTGTATTTAAATATTTTACCTCATTTTCATAACTTTTCTTTGGCCACGATTTTCATCACACATGGATCTACTTTTAAAACTTCATTATGTTTTTTTTTTTAAGTTAAGTACATCACTGATACTTTTTTTAGTAACCATGCATTGAAAGTGGTAAGGTGACATGGTGGCCAGTCATTAAGGTTTAATCTCCCCTCTCTGCTGGGATACTTAACTCCTTGAGTCCATCCCATCGCTGGAAACGAAAAGAAAGCAGCAACCATTTAAACACGAGGCTGTTGTGAATTCAATAGGAAAAGCAGCCTGAAGAGAAAGATGTGGCACCACTGTGTCACTGTGCATG